TCCTCCCCTCCCTAGCTCATCTCCTCCCCTCCCTAGCTCATTCCTCCCCTCCCTAGCTCATTCCTCCCCTCCCTAGCTCATTCCTCCCCTCCCTAGCTCATCTACTCCCCTCTTCTTAAATTCAGGGAACAGACTATTAACAGACAGCTAAATAGTTTAGCAGTTACGAGTGCCCTAGAAATTTGGTTCACGATAGAGAAGGTACTGTATATTGCACAACATTCTATGTGGTAGTGGCAGAGTGATGTAGGCCTTGTGAAGTGTTTCTCATTAGTTGCTAAGGAAAATGTATCTCCAATTATTCTAAACTTTGCCCAGGAGTCTCCAAGGGTTTCATATTAATTGCAAAACAATCCTTTTCTATTTAAAGGATGTTGAGCAATTGATATTTCTAAAGAAAAGTCAGATTAGGCAATAAAGGAAGATGTAAGTGGATAGAGGAGAATTAGGGCAAATTGTAGGAAATCTTGAATGCTGAGCTAAGAAGTTAGACTTTGTTTTGTAGTCAGTAGTCATCAAAGATGTTTCACTAGTGATTTCTTCATATATTCTAGTAAAAAAACCCCACTTGGTTGAAATTAAACTCCTTTTAAATAGTAAACAGGAGAGCTTTCAGATATTGGAATTTTTATTCAGTTCTTGATTAGTAAACTCATTAATTAGAATATCTCCAAGTCACAAAATGTCCTAGTGATTAGGGCCTATAATTTTTAATACAGAAAGAAAATAGAACTCTTAATATTCTTTTGGTTTTAAATTTATTTCATATATTTAATAAAGAAACATATTTGTACTTTTTTACTTTCCCAGGGAAAAGAACTTTATTAAATGTGGTTAAAGTAATCTTTTTCAATCTATGTACTTCTAAAAAATGTAATTATTGGTATAGGGGTAATCTCTGTGTCATTTAAGGTATATTCTCCTCAGTTGTTTTAATTATAAAGTTCACACTAGCAACTTTAGCCAATTTTCATTCATGAGGAATGAGAGAGAAATTTTCTGTTATTCTAATTTTAAGCTATATGAACAATGTGTGCCAGCATTTAGTGTTTTAAATAATAAAATTTTTCTTATGTGTTTTATTGCTATCTAATTTGGAGGTTGAAAAACAGATAATGGTTATTTAACTTCATAAAAAATAAGATATTGGAGCTGGCCCAGTGGCATAGTGGTTAAGTTCGCATGCTCCACTTCATCTGCCTGGGGTTCACAGGTTCGGATCCGGGCCGTGGACCTACACACAGCTCTTCAAGCCATGCTGTGGTGGCATCCCACATACAAAATAGAGAAGGATGGGCATAGATGTTAGCTCAGCGACAATCTTCCTCAAGCAAAAAGAGGAAGATTGGCAACAGATGATAGCTCAGGGACAATCTTCTTCACCAATAAATAAATAAATAAGATATTAAAAACAAACCCTATTGCTAGATGCCTAATTAAACCACCTTTTTAAACTTGTCCTTCATGTAGTGTGTATGTGGCATAATAAGCACTTTCTAAAATACCATTCAAGCGGTCAAGTGGTATGGATCATGATATTTGACAAATGTTTTCCATTTTGACTTGATTTTAATATAATGTTTTTAACAGTTGTTTCTACATTTTACAGGACTTGGAAAACAGTGTGGGTGAACTTAGTGAGGGACAAAGGCCCAGGCTGACAGCAGCAGCAGAGAGCATCTTAATGGGACTTTCTGTTTGTATGCAGCCGCCTGTTGCTAATGCAGAGTCTTTGGATCAAAAATGTGCTCCTAAGCCCTTATCTCAGCAGTTTGACACAGTGACAGGTATACACCAAAATATTGCTTCTTGATGTATCATCTATCAGACTATTCACTTTGAATCCCATCACTTTTTCTTTGTACTATTTCCATGCTGAATGCTGTATTCTGGTTTGTATTATAATCTATGGTAGTGTTCCTAATCTGAATTGAGAAAAGCATAACTATTTTTAGGTGGGGGCTTGCAAGATTTCTCTGTTAAAAAGGATCTTCATAATTGAAAAGTTTGGTAACGACTTTTTCTATGGTATACATAGCAGTGTTTCCCCAAATGTGATTTACGCATGGGGTGGTGCATAAGATAATTTTGGTAATGTGCATATGTACACTTAAAAAATTTTAATAGTGATATATTATTTTAATATATACTGGAAAGCCCTATGAATTTAATATCTACTGAAAACCCCATGAATAGCAGTGGAGCATTATTGGATATAGTGCTGGAAGGTGAGAAGATGGCACAAAAAAGACTGGGCAGGATTCCGCTCTGCTGTCCATAGGGTCACTAGGAATCGGAATCCACTTGACGGCACTAACAACAAATACTGGAAAAATCTAACTAGCGTGTCAAAACTGTGACATAACAGATATTGTTTAGGACAAGGTTAAATTAAGTAATACTGTAGAAATTTCCTCTTTACACTATGTGAATTTCTGACTCAGTGCTCAGTGCACTCAGGACTGTTTTGGAACTTCATTAAGTAAAGTTTTTGCTGTAACACTTTGAGAATAAGAGTAGAATAGAGAATACGGATGACTAGCATGTATAGTTGGTTCTTGTTATCTGCAGTGCTTATGTTCTGCAGAGTCACCAGAAACACTGAATTAGCACATACTGCACCATTGCTTCTAAGGGAAGTACAGGGCTAGGTTCCTACGAGCCTCTGGTCATAACATTTTTTGTCAGCTGATCAGTACATAACCTTGTTTTCTGTATGTTTCTATTTAAAGACACTTATTTAATATATGTTGTTGATTTATTAACATTGTGAAGTTTATCTAACACACATATTTCTTCTGAGAGGCTCAGCACAGCCTTCTTGCACTTAGGAGCACTAGATAGCCCTTCAGCACTGTGTTTGGGGGCCATTTTAAGCAGCAAAATCACCAGCAAAACAAACAAAAATGTGAAAAACAAACGTCACTAAATAGACGGCAAAAAGGACACTTGTTTATAGCATAAGAGCTGAAATAAGACAGCAGAGTGTCACTGTGTTCAGCCTCAGCTGGTAAAGTGTATGTAGAGTGATTCAAGTTTTTCACTGCTCCAATCATGTCTGCAAATGGCTCTGAAAGTGCCACGGGTATTGGTTTTGGGGTTACAAATAAATTTTGTCAAGTACGTGAATTTGCAGATATGGCATCTGCAAATTAATGAGGATCAACAAGATTCTCATTTACTGATTTTACCACGCCCATTGCTACATTCTCTTAAGTGAAAAGAACTTCTGGAGGTATGCAGATTTTCCAGAAATCAGAAAAGGAAATGCCTGAAGCTAGAAAAACATTGGTAGAGAGTATTTAGAGTCTCAGTTTATATTGAGTGAACGCCTTATGTCATTCAGAATTGAGGGAAATTCAAGACTGAATTTTCCATGGAATAAATGTAAAGTAAGATTGGAATTATTTCTCATTTTGTGCACTTAGTGAAAGCGTTAAATGTTTTACATTCTTTTAAATTAGTAGAATTCAAAATGGCATAAAATGTGACTTTTATATCTGTATCCAGCTAACTGTGCAGATTGCAGTTAAACAGAATTGACACTAGATGGCTCTTGCAGATCACTTGGGAGCTGCTAGGTGCTTGGGAACAACTAGGTAATTGTTACATTGTTATAGAATAAAATCTATGAGGATGTATCCTATTCAGCCCCGTCCTTATACTTCTGGTAGTACCTAGCAGACTACCTACACAGTATAGTGCATTTTTAATTGTAGGTACACTGTAGATATTTGTTTAATTTAATTGGAAAAACAGTAATAATACAGCATAACATAAGATTGAGCATATAGATGAGGCAGTATAGCAGAGTGGCTAAGGGTTTGGGCTTTTGGAGTTTCAGAAATCAGTTTGAATTCCAGTTCTGTGTATTTTGAACTTAATCTCTCTGAGCCTGTTCCTTCATCTGTCAAGTGGGGATAATATTAGTGTATTAGTTATCTATTGCTGTGTAACAAATTACCCCCAAATTTAGCATCTGAAGACAGCAAACGTTTATTATCTCACACAATTCTGACAGTCATGAATCTGGGAGTGGCTTAGCTGAGTGGTTCTCAGGATCTCCCATGAGGTTGTAGTCAAGCTGTTGGCTGGGGCCAAGGGCATCTGAAGGCTTCAACTATAGTTGGAGGATCTGCTTTCCAAGTTCACTCACTCATGTGGTTGCTGGCAAGAGGCCTCAGTTCCTCACTACATGAACCTTTCTATAGAGCTGCTCGTGACACAGCAGCTGGCTCCCGCCAGAGTGGATCATCTGAGAGAAAGTGAGCAGCCAGGATGGAAACCACAATGTCTTTCATAACCTAATCTCAGAAGTAACATGCCATCGCTTATGCCACATTCTATAGATAACATAGACCAATCTGGAATAAAATGGTAGGGGACTACAGAAAGGTGTGAATACCAGGAGACAGGAATCAGAGGGCCATTTTGGAGGCTGGTCACCACAAATAGTATCCACCTCATAAGGTTAGTAGGGGTAGTCAGTGACAATGCATATAGAGTAGTTAGCACTGTGCTTGACACATGGTAAGTGTTACTCTCTTTAATAATGCTTAGAGTGTGTAAAAATACCTTCTTAAGTGTATTTAATAGAACTAGAATCTATCCCCAGTTGCCTAAAAGGACTGTGCCCATAGAGAACTAACTTGTTCCTCTTATTTCAAGTATTTTGTTATATAATGGTTACTGTAGAAGAGTGAATCTTGTGTATTAGTATTTCTGCTGGTGGCTAATCCCACGCTTTTTATATTGATTTTTAATAACTTTGCATACAGAGGCTCATCTATTCTTACCTTGCCTCTCCCTACTCCTGCTCATTTTCAGAAAGTGTGCTATTTGAAACCTATAATCCTCTACCACTGTTTCCAGTTCTGAGGCTCTCAGATTGGGTTGAATAATGAAAAGATGCAAAATAAGCTTTGAAGAGTTGTCTTGGGAACCCTAAAATGTAAAGTGGTATTTTGAACAAATCGTGAGGACTCTGGGATTTACTACCAATGATAGCTCTTCATTTACTCAGAAAACTTGTACTGGATACCTACTGTGTACCTGCTACTGTGTTAGTACTATATTAGGCACCTGAGATACAGAGATGATAGACATCTGCTCTCAAGGAAGTTTACAAGGTCATGTAGGAGAAATAGAAGAAAGACAACAATTATAATATTTCGTGATTAATACAACAACACAGACTGCTTTGGGAGTGCAGAAGAGGAACTCAACTCACACGTGAGGGCTCAGAGAAGGTTTGCCACAAGAACCAGTGTGCAGTGGGATCATGAAGGAGTTAGCCAGATGGCGAAGTATGATGAGGCATTTCCGGTTGGTTCATTTACTTGCACATTCAGAAAATGTTTCTTGAGGGGCCGGCCCCGTGGCTTGGTGGTTAAGTGAGCGCGCTCCACTGCTGGCGACCCGGGTTCGGATCCCGGGCGCGCACCGACGCGCTGCTTCTCCGGCCATGCTGAGGCCGCGTCCCACACACAGCAACTAGAAGGATGTGCAGCTATGACACACAACTATCTACTGGGGCTTTGGGGGGAAAAAATAAATAAATAAAATCTTTAAAAAAAAAAGAAAATGTTTCTTGAGCGCTCGCTATGCTCTAAGCACATTCTAGGTGCTAGGAATACACCTGGTAAGGCCCTGTCCATAGTGAGTTTTTTCTCTAGTAGGAGTAGTGGATGAGAAGGCACAAATATGCAATGAATCATTATAGTTATTGTGAGGAAGTCCATATAGGATGGGAGTACAGGTCACTTGTAACTGGAGAGGGCAATCATGAAGGGAGGCTTACTTGACATGAGTTCTCAAAGATGAACAGACATTTGACGTGTAGTAAGTGAGGAGGGACCTTCCAGGTAGAATATGCAGTGAGACAAGGGCAGGAAGTTGAAAAATAGCAAGACTTAATCAGGGAAATATAAGTAGTTTATCAATGAATTAGAGCTTAAGATGCAGTGAGATTGGACTAGTGAGCAGAAACCAGGTCCTGAAATACCCTGGATGATAAATCAAGTAGTTTTTAGATTTACTCTAAGACAGTAGGGATCCATTGGTGCGCAAGATGGAAAATAATGCCAATCTTACTTTATATTTATTCCCATGGAAATTTGAATTCCTATGAATTCTGAATGTTTGTGATATTTACAGGTCCACTAAGGATTGTAAGTAAATGCTAGGGTCATATTTGCCATTTATTTAGCAAGATCGTCTGAGGTGCAGTGTGATGGATAGGACTAAGTGGAGAGGATTAAGACTGGAGGCAAGGAGCCTGATCAGACAGCTATTAAGGTAAAAGTGGTGAGACGTTATTCAGCAGTGAGGATATATGAAAAGGGAGATTTGAGAGACAACTAAGAAGGAGAATAGACAAGACTTAGTCTAAATATGAGAGGTTTGCAAAAGAAGGGAAAGTCTAAGAAATCTCCAGGTTTCTGGCTAGAATGATTGGATAGATGGTTTCCATTCACTGAGAGAGAGAGAATAGGGAGGAAGGACAGACTTAGGAGGAAATAAGGATGAGTGGGGTTTTATACATGTGGAATTTGAGGTGCCTTTGGGTTTCATACAAATGGAATAATGTATTAGACATACCAGACCCAAAGCTGCTGCTGGTGCTGGCAATTTCAGGTGGGCTGTCTTCTCTGCAAGTCTACCACAGTTGCTTTTTCATAACAGTAAGGTTCTAGAAGAGTAAAATCAGGGATTTCAAGTTATGATTAATTAAATTAAATTTGAACTGAATGAAATAATACTGTAAGTATCCCTCTTACAAAGGGCTAACTTACATTAAACAGACAAGACACCCATAGTCAGTGAGCGTACTCTTTAGAAGAGACACAGCAAGTTCAGCATTGTTATGATTGCTGTCATGGAATCCTTTCCTGACCCCTTGTCACTGGGTTAGATGCCTGTCGTAGGTGCCCTCTGTACAGTCCTCTAACGTTGCCTGCCTAATGGCACTCTTATCACACTGATTTGTAATCTCACTTGAGGGTAGGGACTTTATCTTGTTCACTGTCCTATCCTTGTCATCTAGCAGAGTATAGTGCAGAGGCAGTAAATATATGTTCAGTGATAGGGTGTTATGTGAGTTGAAAGCTATTATGCACTTTTAATGCTTTTGGGGAGATGTTTGATTATATACTCTCTGGGTTTCTACATACAAGTTTTTTTTTAATTCAAAATTTACCTTGTGTCTTTTTAATTAATTTTTTCTTTATACCCATACATTAACCACATATAATTTTACATAAAAACAACATGTAATTATATCATACATTACTTTAAATTACAGACTCTTTTTTGGCTTGTCCTGCATCTGCCTCTCCTCCTCACATTTTCTCCTGTCTCATATTATGCCTCACCCCAAGTAACTCATGTTAAGATTCTGGTATGTAACCTTCCTGTTTTTCCTTTACATATATAGTTACACGCACACTCACGTGTACAATAGATATGGTAGGTACATTGGATGTGTGTGTTTGTTGTTATTTTACATGTTGAGGTCATATCATGGACACTTGCCTGTATTTTGTTTTTACCCAGTAAACTCTGTGGAAATTACTCCAGGTCAACTGGTATTGCTTAAATTCATTCTATTTCATGACTGCGTAAAACCCTTTAGTGTGGATTTCCACTAATTTATTCAGTCAGTGCTCTATTGATGGATATTTACTTTATTACCATTTTCCCCCACTATAAACGTTGCTAGAGTAAATATCCACACACATATATTCTAACCTCTTGTTGCACGTTATAGTTATGGAATAGTTTCCAGGAGTAGTTACTAAATTCAAGGGCAAATGTGTTTTTAATTTAATTTAATTTAATTCTTTTGTGTGAGGAAGATCAGCCCTGAGCTAACATCCATGCTAATCCTCCTCTTTTTGCTGAGGAAGACCGGCTCTGAGCTAACATCTATTGCCAATTCTCCTCCTTTTTTTCCCCCAAAGCCCCAGTAGATAGTTGTATGTCATAGTTGCACATCCTTCTAGTTGCTGTATGTGGGACGCGGCCTCAGCACAGCCGGAGAAGTGGTGCGTCAGTGCGTGCCCGAGATCCGAACCCGGGCCGCCAGTAGCAGAGCGTGCGCACTTAACCACTAAGCCATGGGGCTGGCCCCGTTTTTTTAATTTTAGAATTGATATGCCAAGTTGCTTTTCTTAAAGTTTAAGCCAATTTATTTATTTATTTTATTTTTTGTGAAGAAGATTAGCCCTGAGCTAACATCTGATGCCAATCCTCCTCCTTTTTTTTTCCTTTTTTTGCTGAGGAAGATTGACCCTGGGCTACCATTCATGCCCATCTTCCTCTGCTTTATATGGGACGCCGCCACAGCGTGGCTTGACAAGCGGTGCATCTGTGTGCGCCCAGGATCTGAACCTGTGAACCCTGGGCCGCCGAAGCGGAGTGTGCGCACTTAACCACTATGCCACGGGCTGGCCACGAGCCAATTTATTTTTATCATTAATTTCTTACAGCCTTTTCCCTTAATCCCCTCCAGAAATTTTGTTTAATACTTTTTTTACTTTTGTCAGGCAAAATATAAAGATATGTCTCTGACTACTGGTGAGTTTCTATGTCTGTTCAGGTTTGTTGGCCACTTGAATTTATTCTTCTGTGAATTACCTACTTAAGTTCTTTCCCCATCTGTTAGGTTCTAAAATTTTCTTGTAACTTTAAGAGCTATTTTTATATTTTAGATGTTTTCTATCATCTGTATTACAAATGTCTTTTTCCAAATTTATACTTTGTTTATTGACAATATTTGTGGTCTTTCTTTGCCATATAATTTTTAAAAATTTTAGGGGCCGGCCTGGTGGCGCAAGCGGTTAAGTGTGCACGCTCTGCTGTGGCGGCCTGGGGTTCGCCGGTTCAGATCCTGGGCGCGCACCGACACACGGCTTGGCAAGCCATGCTGTGGCGGTGTCCCATATAAAGTGGAGGAAGATGGGCATGGATGTTAGCCCAGGGCCAGTCTTCCTCAGCAAAAAGAGGGAGGATGGAATCAGATATTAGCTCAGGGCTGGTCTTCCTCACACACACACACAAAAAAAACTGGCAATCTAAAAGAAAAATATGCAAAGGGCATGAAGAGATGGTTCATAGA